GTTCTTGTCTGTGTGAGTGGTTTATTAATAATCTTCTTTTCCATTATTATGTCCAAGCWGTTGATTTTGATTGGGAATAAAAGACACCTTTCACAACAAGTTAAAAAAAAACAAGCTTTTGACAGCCAAGGTTAAGGGCTAAGCATCGTCAGTGCAGGTCTTGTTTAACTACTTATGAGCATCTATTTCCCTGCCAGGAAAAGTGACTCAGTATGCATCCTCCATCCTTTGCTTATATTTACTGTGGCCAGAAGAAGCCACAAGCTGCTCTGCATGAAAATCCAGTCCAGCAGTCCTATGAGGACTAGTGTATAAAAGGCATTTTAACCTAAGAGTGCAACACATTGCCAATGAATCTCAATATTTTACCCTCTTGACACAAAAACAACTCATCTCAAGCAACACTTAGAAGAAACCTTTTTAAAAATGTATTATTTACCAATTATTTTCCAAATAATGCAACAGAGTAAATTTTGAATATAGTTTTAAAAGCAACAACACTTTGGAGAACTTTTTATCTTCCTTTGGTGTTTATATCTGCACTTCAGCCTTTTATATTCACTGTAATATTATAGACCAACAAAAAACTGCAGCAAATTATTATGTAGGCTCTCTTATTGTTTTATTTTTAATGGCAATGAAGCCAGCAAAGAAAAACATTTTGTTTGATGTAATATACATATGGTTAGATGAATACAGAACCATTTCCCCGAAAAGCAATTTTCTTTAGGCACACTGCGACAGATAAAAAAAACCGATGACCCAAACGACAATAAGTGAGTGAGAATAAAGAAATATTAACATTACTAAGTACACAGAATCGGTGCCTGGAGCGCAACAGGACATAATAAATATGTTTGACTCGTAAAAATGCCTGAAGGACAAAAACTAAGAGGGGAGAGATTAGAGAGGCCAGATAGAAAAAGTACTAAAAAGAAAAAAAAATGAGCACAGCAAGTGAGATTAAAAGAAAATGAATGAAAACTATCTATCTACTGATGACCTCACCATCCATCTAACAAGGTGCCGGAATGAGAGGAAATGGGATAAGTAGCACTCTTGTTGCTAAGCAATTGATGAGTTCTTCTTGATGTAAAGTGACGAAAGGAAAGATGAAGAGCAGCAGAGAAGATAAGAAAAGGTGGACGGAGTACGGCTTAGAATTTAGCTTAAATGCAAAAAAAAAGGATGCTCTGTTTAGAAAAGACTGAAAGAAACTAAGCTAYACCCAAAGCAAACTGAGGCAACTCWAAGAAAATATTGGAAATATATCTAGGAAGAAACGGCTTTATTGTCTGACAAAGCAATGCTCCACCGCTGCTGTAAAATAAAAAAGATGAATGCTTATGAGTCCTTATGTTGATGCGGAGCAAAGTAGATTTCAGAGCACATGGAGAAAACGATCTGGTTACATCAGGGTGCTATTTCACAGTAGTGCTGCTCGTTTCCCCAATAAAAAAAAAGAAAAGGATGTGTGTGTGAACGTGTGTGTGCTCGCCTCTGTATTTATCCTCGGCCATTAAAAGCTCGAGACCTGAAGCAAAAAATGTAGCAGWGCTGTGTGTAATAAAGGAGAATATTTACTTCTTCCTAAGGATTTCCAGCTCCACCAAAGTTCTCTCATCTCCATTTTCAACAAAATAGCTGGAGGACACGTTTCACCACTGACAATCTATTATTTTTCGCTCCTTCACTGCAACTCATTATAACAAGAGCTGTAAGTGGACACAGATGAACATGTAGTTTTCTGCATAAAGAGCCACATTTACGGTCAGGGCGTGCTACTGTGATCCAGATTTGAAATCTGAAATGCTTCAAGTATTCAGAGTGCTGCTTAAGTTTGATTTCATACAGCTGCTGTTTTCACTTTTTCTGCTTCCAAATTTGCCCGCGACTGACGCCAGWGATTAATATCAGTCAGGCCAGGAAAGTTATATAACAGCAAAACATAATAGAACAAAGGTTGTAGTGACGTGCTGATTACCGATACAATAAACAAAAATCCTAAGCACATACAGTAGGTCCAGATGTATTATATTGTATTTATTGACTTTTTTTTCCTCAAGAACAGTGATTCCAATTGGTTAAACATGTTGGAGAACACTGTTCCACATTTTCAAAGCAGTAATRTGACCTGCTGTTTTCAAATCAGTTAAAGATGCAGGATTATAAAGATGATGTTAAGGGGAAAAAATTGATAAGCTTACTTAGTTTTTGCATCAGTGGGTAAAACATTTAAACACAGCTGATGCTACAAATATCATTCAGGTTATTTTTCAGTGTTCAGAAACCATTCGATTTCCATTTTAGGGTTTCAAATTACACTATTAATGTAACTGGAAAATAAATTACAGCCTATTGGAGCCTATCTAAACAATGTGAAAGTGGGCTCCGTCTCTATAAGAACCTCCTGCCATTTCAGACACTCCCACTTCAGCACATATTTACAACGTTTCATGTCRTTTCAATTTTATAACATTGATTTTGGAAAATGGCAACTCAGGATATAGTTGAACCTTACTCCAAACATGTTACAGTGGACCCTGAAAGTACGCTTTCTTAAGAACTGGAGCAAGTATAGAGGTATGATATAAAGCTAAAAAAACAAACAAACCCATTTTGCATATTACCCCTTCATTTAAGGAAACCTAGACTGGTCACGGTAAACTCAGTCTCCATTCTACATATCCAACCTGCCATAAACTTCAAGACAAGTACAACAAACAAAAATACAAAAGCATATTGAGGCAGGACACARATATTATCTACAGTAAGATCAA